TGAGTCCAGTTCAATTTACTCAGCTTTTCTAGCTGGTTTCAAAAAACAATGGCTTACCTTTGAATTAGACAAAGAACAAAATTCTCAGCCTAGAGACATGAAACTGAGGCACAGAACATACTCCTGTCTCTAATGACGTTAGTAGCAAGTCAAGGGTGGTAATTGTGACAGCCCAACTCCACATTCATCTCTTGACCATTAAGTGGCTGAGCTGATTGGAAAGAAGATACAGAAAATCTTATCACCTCTTAAAATGACCCTGCAATAAAATTATTTATAGTGTTTAACCAGTAAGCACTTTTATTGTTGATTCTGAAGCCATTAAGACTACATTATGTTGGATTACAAGATTTTGGCTACATCTCCCACATTCGCATGCAGGCATTACATTTGCAAGGTTTTCTCAGAAAAACAGAGCACGTGCCTAAAATGCATGAAGTTACATGATTATAACATGGAAGCAGCATGTCAGTTACAGAAATTTGTACCACATGTACCAATAACAAACCCACACCCCCATGTAAAGCTTCTTTATCCCTCAAAAATCTTACTGCTTCCTCTGTCCCACATCTCCATGCCCCAGCTGTTGATCAGCCCGCATTGCCCACTGTTTCTGAAAACACTATATCTTCCTAAACAAACAAAAACTTAAAAAATTGAGTACACTACATTTCCCCCCATAAAAACTAAAACATTTCCTAAAACATTTATCCCTCACAACCCTTCTCCTCATCTCCCAAATAAAAAAAAAAATCTATTGTAATCTACACATTTGTTCAAGCAATGTTATATGATAGGAATCTCTATTGCATTATTCAAAGGTATATTAATAACAAACTTCTAAAAAAACTAGGATGACCCAAAAATTCCCCTTGCCCCAAAACTACAGAGAGCTGAAAATGCTATACTGCATTATCACACTTGCATGCATGGATCCTGAGCCACCTCTATTTATTCACCTTGAGCCCCTTTTAATAAATAACTGTCCAGCAGTAACATCCAGAAGTGCGCTGTCTCCTCCAAATTAAACTCTATATTTACAGAAGTAGGGCTGTTTTCTCAGTGAAATGTTTCTTAAAAAAAAAACAAAACAAAAAAACCAAACAAACCACAAAAAAACCCGAAGTAACAACAATAAAAACTGCAAGTGATTAAAGAGAGAAAGCATATTACTGATTGTGTTGTCTGAAGACCAACAGGACTAAAAAAGCATTAGGAGCACCAGGTGCACATGCATTTGAACTGGTACAGTTCATGAAATAATGTCATTCATTGTTATGCTTGCTCTTTCACATGAGAAGCTGATTCTTTTTCCTTTTTTTTCCTTTTTCTATTTAGGACCGTCTGCTCTGCAGGCTACTCCCACAGATGGCAACACATGCACTGAGCTTGAAAAATTGCCATAAATATGCTTTGATCAATGTGGTTCTGTATCAGGTTTAAACACACTGAATTTCCCTCCCTGCTGCTTTGCACCTTGTGTCATTCCTCATTTGTAGTGAGACCAAGGCCTCCTGAATCCACATTTTCCTCTAGGATTTCGGGAAGAATTAGATATTCACTTTTTTTGCAAGTGTCAAATGGTGCTATATACTGGAAAATACATGGGAATCATTCCCACATGAGAACATTTCTTAGCAGTGTAACAACTGTAATCACAATTGGCATATACAAGAATGCCAAAACAAACATTGAAACAACAGGCCCATTTGAGGCACTTTGTCCCTTCCTTTATTTCCAGACATTTCTCAGCTGATGGACACCAATATTACTGCCTTGATTTCAGTTGGTCTATTTTGATTTATACTAGGTAAGGATCAAGCTCAACAGATGATAAAATAACAACTACTTTCTCTTACTGTGCTGTTACAATGCCTGAGATCACTGCAAATGGGTACATTTCTGTACAATCAAAAGGCCTTTCTGTAGCCAGTGCAGCATATTCACTACTCCCACCTCTGCAAAGAAAATTCAGTTTAACGCAAAAAAAAAAGTTCACTTTCCCTTTCTGCTTTACCAGCAAATTAAACCTGCAGTGCTCCTGTCACAGAGGCTGCAGCCAAAACTTGAGTTACACACCAAATGCTTAATTTTTTACAGTGAGAATGCAGGAAACTCCATTTATGCCAAATCTAATTCTCAAATCCATGGTGGTTCCCACTTTATCATACATGAAGCCATTCATCTGGGATTTGGCAAAGCCTAAGCTACTTCTATTCCTGCTGCACTTGCAAGTTGTGCAGAATTGTTAGCACGTTATCTTTGTTATCTGTGTTATCTTTGTAAGTCTGCGCATTCCAGCAAAGACCAATCATCTCTTCAACTGCAAACAAGAGGCATGTTGGATGTGTGACTGTGAGAAGCCCTGCCTGAGCCAAGAGCTCCACTGTCACTGGCAGGGAGTCAAATTCCACCAACACTGACATGAGGGCAAATCGCCAACTCGACTCACCTCTCCCAAGATCTCTACAGGTGCAACACAAGACAAAATCTGGCTCCCAGGCTTTGTCATTAGCTAAAGTTAACTCTTGACCCACCAAGTCACTGCTTCAATCTCACTGCTGCCTGCTGATAAGAGAATTGGCATCTACAGAGCTGTTGCAGCCCCACAAGAAGTTAAAGCTCTAATTCCCTGCTTTTCCTGGCATGGGTATCAGTTTTATCGTCCTCTACCATTTCAATTTCTAGTTGGCATTTGCTGGCTAATTATTCTCACACAACCAATGTGAGAAGCTGTTAGGTTCACTGTACATACACACTACAAATGGTCTTAGACCCAGCAAGGCTATTGTAGGGTTTCCACATTACCAGTATAATGCCCATCAATGACCTCTGTTTGTGAAGCACCTTCCCCACCCTTCCTCCTGCCCTCTCACTGCAGTCAGCCAGTTCCTTTCACTGGGGTAAAACCAGAGTTTCACCAGAACTGCAGTGGAAAATTGAACTGCTTTAGTTTCACCTTTCAGCTGAAAGAAACAGAGATATGTGATGACTCTGTGTGTCACACTGGCTGCAAAAGGCCTTTCTATTCACAGGAGTGCAACTCTCAAGCAATTTCTGTAAAGCAAGAGAAACCAAACAAAACCCTGCACAGTTCCCACACACAAGCACAGGCACACACACACACACACACACATACTCTTCTTTCCCCTCCAAACAGAAATCCATTCTCATGAACCAAATTATGCAGACCCTATTCAAGTGTCTAAAAAGAATGAGGATAGGGTTGAGTGCATCCCAATTCTCCTTTCTGATCACAATGAAGTCACAGGTCAGCAAAGCACTTGGGCATAAGGAAGTTTCTCTTGACCTGCAGGATATTTTAACACATGCAGAAATGCTTTGCTGGCTCTGGCCTAAATTAGGAATAGCTCCAAGGCCAGCTGGCACTCACAACCATGATTCCACTACCTGCACCAATATACATGAGGTAAGAGCTAAGCTCAAGAGAGCAGAGCAGTGCAAGAGGAGAAGGAGGCTCTGTGGTTCTTCTGAGTCATGTTTGACAGCCTCAGCTGCATACACACGGCATGTCACAGTGATCAGCATAGACTGATGAGAGCTTGGTGGTGTTCTGCAAGTGGGCCTTCCACTGGAAACATTAAGCTTGATTTCTGTTTGTGCCAGCACAACTTTATATGCCTGTAACAACTGCATGAAAAGGTCTTAAATCTGGAGCAACTGCACAATACAGTTAGTGTTTTATCCTAGACTTATGTGCCAACAACTCTTGTGATGCGTTACACACCCACACACAGATGGAGAAATAGGTATATGCTGTGTCATAATGCAACATATCATTATTTCTACAACTATCCTAAAAACACAGCCAGTGCCAAAGCAGACCAGCATAGGTTCCCTCTCCAATACAATAGGTAGTGGTGGAGAAAAAGCAAGCTCAGGTGTTATTTTGATTCACTAGGGAATGCTCTGGGCACAACCCACTCAGGTATTGCTCAGTGAACACTAATAATGGGCTGGCCCCCAGTCCCGCGTCAGAAATTCCCACCTCTGTGTGGGTGCTCACATCCCTTTCTGGTGACACCCAAATTGAGGGCATGGGAGAGCAGCCAAGCATGTAAAACAGGGATAAAAGCTCATGCTCACTCTTCACACCATGCCTCTCAGCCACAGGTAGACTGCAGGGCTACATATTAGTGGGATCTGAACTGTCTAAAGAAATAGCTGCTCAAAGAGGAATTTATGTTTTAATCACAAAAGGATCAAATTCTTCTTGGCAGTAAGATCAAAAAGAAATTTATCCAATCAAATAGCAATAGAACCAGTCCCTCAATGCTGCTGATATAAATAACACATTCTGTTTGCTTACTACAGCATCTGTGCTCAAATTCCATGTATGTTTGCTTCCTTTTGGACTACTCTTTCTATAAATGAAAGCTAAACACCAAGTCAATTGGTATTTAGCTTTCTCAAAATTCCTCTGAACTTTGGACAAATATGAACTCAAGTCTTGTACAAAATCTGGATTTCTAGATGGAGTATCTCATTTTCAGTGGTTGTCCTATGCAACCACGTCTAAATGTATGCAGAGATAGCAGGCTCAAAAATTGATTTTTATAGGGCAAAACATAAATCCCTCTTCTATGATAGATTATTGAGCTAGATTATTGGCACATAGTTCTATGTTACCTTATTACTGTTATAGGCCTGTTAAAACTTGCATGGAAATTCCACCTGCAGAACCAAAGGCAGAAAGTTATCTTTGCAACTGTTGATCCATACTAACATCTGGATGTAGTACTGTTGGGAAAAAAAAGCAAATTCCTCACTGAACTATGTTGAACCAACTTGTAGGCGGCAGCTATCGAAGCCACTGATGCACGAGTACCGGCAAAAGTTATTAATGAATGATCTGACACACCAAGTCAGACAACTGTCCTAGCTAAATACATCTCCAAAAGTATACACACAAAAGCTGCTACTGTATCTAGATGATCATTTTGGTTTGTTTCTATACCCCATAGCTCTGAATCTTTCCACTGAATGTTTACTCAGCACGTGTGGTATAAATATATTCATACACTAAAATTGACACTTGGCAATATTTTTTTTCCCTTTTTCTTTTTTTTTTTTCTTTTTGCTGACCAGCAACAAATTCTGATATCTTTAACTGTAAACCAATACTCAATAAATATGCTGTGTTCAGCAAAGAGACATGTCGTGTTGATCAGGTTTTGCTGCACTCTAAGCCATGGGCTGCGGGGGTGGGCGTGAAGGAGGAGGTCCAGGAGGGGCTCGGGATGGAGGTGGCCCAGGAGGTGGCTGCCTGGAAGGAGGCTGCAGAGACACAGGAGAGGAAGGGCTCCTTGGAACGTTGTTGAGGGGAGCGTTGTCACGCAAGGGCAGCTTCGGCGGTGGGCTGTAAGGGGCAGAGGTGCCATCCGACTTCACACGGGTGAAGTTTATGCATCTTCCCTAGAGGTGAAGAAAAATTCATTATTAAAAAGCAGGTATTTTGACTCATCAAAGTCAAAGGTACTACAAACAGAGAGGTCAGGCTACAGTTCATCCAGTATCAATCTCTGGGTCCTAGAAATTACATTCAAATCACGCTGTATTAAAGTTCATACTTTCCTTGATTTTCAGAGCTACTGCCTGTAGAGAATAGCCCAGGACTGGCTTAAACCAAAAGGGTCCACACTGCGACTGTCCTCACATGTGCTCTCTGCTGTGCTACTAGAGCAGAACATGCCTAAAGTGACAGCTCCACTCAAGTCATGCCTGCCTTGGTGGGATTCTTGACTGCAAAGTTGGGCTTGAAAAAAACTCATACAGGATTATACCAGAGCAACAACATTAGCAAGGACAATCCATAGCTCTCATTTTCAAAGTGATCCTAGCCTGGCTGATGTCTGTGCTTTGAACATTACACTGGGATAGTACACGTCTTCTGTGCTACAGCATAGATGTGGCTCCCGTCAGAAACACCAACAAGGTGTGGGACTTGCACAGAGGGCTCTCCAATGAGTGTGTTTTCAGGATGGATGTGGGATGCAGACAGGCAGGATCTGATGGGAGCACTGTGTGTGGAAACTTTAAAACAGGAGTAGCTTGGATTTGAAAAAAAAGCAAGCACTGGAGATGTCCTAGTCAACTAGCAGCTAAATGCAAATATATCAGGGTTTTCTTTAGCCAAAATAAAGCTTTGCATAGGTTCCCACTAACCAAGTTTCAGACAGGAAGAGAGAGAGAAAGAGAGTCAGACCCCAAAGACCACCTAGCCTCTCCTGTGGGAAGCAACCAGAGGCTCCTAGGTAATGCAAAAGCTACATGGTAACCTCAGTGAGGCACCTCAGATAGGCTCCATGCTGGAATCAACAACCTAAATTCAGCTTAAGGTTATAACAACATCCCCTGAGCAAATTCGGGGAAGGATGCCAAATATAGAAAACTTATCTCAAAGCAGCTGTAGGTCATGATCCTCCCCAGCTACTAATAGCTGTGGCAGCAGGAATACAAAAGCCCACATCAGTCACTGATTCTCTTGGCTCAGTGCTGCCCAGCATGAGAAAACTCTGAAGGTGTTTAGAGAATGAGCTGAGTTTCTGTGGCAAACTCACAAATCACAATTTCCTCAGGAAATGAGGCAAAAGCCATCACAGCAGAACCTCAACTGTTTTGTTGAGTGACTTCCAATGTCTGCACCTTTGTTCATGAAAACTATTTCTTTAGAGAGAGGGGAATTGCTTATCTATGGCTTCTATGAAGAAAGGAAAACAGTGTTTCAAAAGAAGTTTCTGTAAGCTCCAGAGCTCAGAAAATGATTTTACAAATGTACTAAAACCCAAAGGGTACCACCCTACCACTTACTTGGACTGAATGGCTCTGGGCTTCCAGAGCTCAGCTGCAGACACGAGTTGTTTGAATGGACATGTTGTTGCCTGCACATGAGACACATTCAGTAATTCTCTGTCCCAGCTTTCACCATCACAATTCACCACTACACTTAAACAACAGTGTCAATGAGTAGGATAAAATTCTCTCCCTAAAAATCCAGGCTTGCTACGCCAGACTTTGGTTATGAACCAGGTTCATGGCAATATTATACTGGGGCCAGAGCATTTGCATGGAGGCAAAAGGCAAAAGCCAAGGTCTTGGTTACTTCTGCAAAGATAAACCATTGGATCAAAAAAGCCAAGTCAATGCTCTGCTCTACTCCACCACAGAACTCAAGTCCTCACCAGCATTGCACCAGGCAGCCATCTGTTCCAGGTATTTGTTTTCTGTTGTGCTCCACTGTATTCAGAGCTCACTTGGAAATTCAGCAGTATTTACTGACATGTTACAGATCTATTTAACAGCTGTACATTAAATTCATTTTAGAAAACTCAGCCTTGATATTTATAAAGTTACAAATTTAGAGCAGCTTAATTATCAGTCAGGATGAAAGAGAAAAAAACTGAAAAAGAAAAAAGGTCAGAGGTGCTCAGATGAGATGCACCATATGGACAGGGAAAAATTTAGGACAGAACCATCTCCCTCATAGTAAATGCAAAGCTGCAAACCCAACACTAGTGCTTTTGCCTACAAGCCTTTCCTGCCCCTCTGTTGTGTCTCTCTCACAAACATCAATTCCAAATATATTCATAGTCTATAATCAAAGGGGATCCCATAAATCTGTTTGCATTACTTTCACTTCAGTTAAAGTGATAGGCGACGTCAAACTGCTGCCAGTTTCTGCCACACTCACTGATTTGTCAGACAGATGGGTAATTTAAAGGCCATGCGCTGCATTGTGTCATGAAAAATACGGTTGGGTTGGGAGAGTCTGACAGACAGAGGCCTGGATGATCGATGTATGTATTGTGACACTTCCTCACAAAAGATTATCAGTGTTAGCCTGCAATCTCATATATCAAAGACTTCTGCTGAATACTGGAGCAAATCCTCCTGAGCACTTCAAGCAGCCATTGATGAAATGGGGCCAAACTCTAAGCCAGTGTCAGGATTAACAGCTGAAAAGGGAAAGGGAAGAACAAATGACAATAAATCATAAGTGATAGTTTGGACTTATCACGTGTATTTTGTCAAAGGATTTCTAGGTTGAAGAATTAAGCCCTCCACACATCACAGTCTCCTTATAACAGAGTGCCTCTGTTTTTCTACCTAACATGCACATCCCTCTGGGGTTAGTTTATAACAAAAAAAAATCCACTATATTTCTCAAATAAACACGCTAACCACAGGATTTTTAATATTCTCTGCTTGAAAGAATTAAGTAATTTCCTTTCCAAAGGCATATAAAGGCTTTTAAACCCTGGGAACACAGACAGAAATTAAGTACCCTGCACACTTATCTCTGCTCTTCCTGCACAGAGGATTAACAGGGATTAAGAAGCCACCACCACGTTACTAGAGGTAATGGTATATATTTTTCCAGAAGCACAGAACACACCAAGCGTTTCAGGGAAGGTGTCAGAGCTGCAAGGTGCAGCAATACCAGGCTGATGCCAGGCACCCCAGCTGTGGAAGCTGTGTTATTGTGCTCTGGAGGCAGATGATGTGTGTGGGGCCAGCCCTGCTGGCTGGGCCCCGCGCCGCGCTCGGCCATTCAGGCACCAACCGAAGGTCAGCAGCGTGCCATATGGAGCTATGCCCTTGCTGCAGCTCACATCTGCACCCTCTTCCTCATGCACTATTATCTTGCCTCCCCATATGTCCATCCACTTGTTAGGCTCTTGTTATGCTGCTTGCCAAATTGGCTTTTCAAAAAGTACAAATACTGAAGCAGTGGGATCTGCCCCTGTCCCGACTCCAGCTTTTATCCCAGTGTAACAATCACATGTGCAATTCAGGCACTTTGTACTTCCAGGCAAAGTCTCCTCGACCACCTAGGATGTGTTATTGTGTGTGGTTTAAGGGGAGCAGGAAGGGAGGAGCCTCCTGAAAGCCACTGCCTCATGTTGCTGGGCTATCTTCATCACAGTGCTCACTACATCATTCCCCAGCACTCATTTCCCCAAAATCCTTAGCTACTACTCAGCAAGTTTTCAATTGACAGAAATGACTGCTAAAGAATCCAGGCAATTCAAAGAGTGCCATGGGGAAGTCTCTTCACCCATGATACTAGGAATACTTCAGCAAAAAGAATTTTAAAAATCCAGGCCATCTGCCAGTAGCTGTCCCTTTTCCCTATTCATTTTAATACATGCATTGGTGTTTAACAAAAATCAAATCTAGTTTCATCTCTGTGCATGTCAGTATTCGTGTACACTAAAGTATGCCTGTTTCTTATTTTTAGCTACATTAGTTGACCTAATGAAAGGCATCCTTCCTGTTATAAATTTTGCTTGATTTTCCATTCCCTCTTGGTTTGGCTTACAGAGTCCAAGTGCTGCAATTTGGATTTGAAGAGGTGTTTATCTGACTGAAAGAGTTAGCTTCACTTTACTAAATTTTCTTGTCTTTGATCTTTTAAGAATATGATACTTGCATTTTAGAATGGAATAAAATAAGCTATTTAAAGTTTGAGCATGGCCATTCAAAACATTAGACTAACAAATTAAAAATGAAGTTGCTCCCAGTAAGAAAGTATTAAATTATTAATTATTATGTTATAATTTAATACTTTCTTTCTTTCTTACTTATAATTTTTATAGTTTAATTTTATTATATTTTAAAGTATTTTAATAATAATTAAATTTATGTAATTTTAATAATTATTAATGAATATTTATTATAGGTATTATTTAGGCTGCTGAAATCCAAAATTAATATAATTTCCTTGGTCTCTCTCTCCAGTTTTGTTATCTATGTTTGTCTATGGGATGAAGCTGCCAGATTTCTATGGACCTGGTTCATCAGCATGTAGCTTCACTTCCTAAATATCTTTCAATAGTTCATTATAAAAATGTAGCTCTAAATCTCAAAAGAATAGATTCAGATTTTATGCTACTTACAAAACCACAAGAGAGAGCATAAACAAAAAGTCACAATTACTTTAGCTAAGTGAAAGCTTTGATTCACAAACCCAGAAAACAACGAGACAGAACCCATTAAAGACCAGAGACTTTTGGAAAAACTGAATTTTGGCAAAATTAGGGACTACCCTGTCTTCTAATAAAGAACCAGAGTGTTCTAGCAGAAACACCTACACAGAATATCCTAAACCAGCCAAGTAGGGGAAACTCATTTATCGGAGGTAGATTATGGATACAACACCTGTACAGTGAAAGAGATGAAGCAAGGTGGTACAGAGTTCCCAATATTTGAGTTCCCTGGGCAAGTGCAGGATTAGTAGCTGGCTCCTCAGGATCTGTGAGCATCAGCCTTTGCCAAAAGCTTCCTCACACTGCACTGCTTCACGCTGACTGTGCACTCAACATGTCATGGCTCATTAAAACCTTCATGGATTTCCTGGGAATTGCACTGATTACCCTGCAGCAGACAGGCTAGAAATTAGTGAGCTGCTGAAA